CCTGTTTTACACCCAAAATAGTGTCCAGTGTGTACCATTGAGGAGGATCTATTGTCAGAAATGGAATATAATATTTATAGCTATGTTTTCATTAATGTATAATCAAAATAGGAAATACTCTGTTTTTGTTGCCTTAAAGTCTACAGGTGATGCATGTCACCTTTAATGGAGTCTGTCTTGTCTCTACAGTAGCCCAGAATGGACAAACCAAACACTGGCTGTAGATCACACTTCACAGCCTGTTCTCATTCCCAGGTTGTCAGATATAGACTCATGCAGTGTTCAGTTAGTTACACTCTGCAGCTTCACCACTAGATGCCCTTAAACTCCTACACACTGGTCCTTTAAGGTCTTTCAGAAGATTGCTGCATGCATTGCTGTCTGCCACATTACCCTCTGTGGTGCTACCACCAGGTGGCGCCAAAATTGAGGGTTCTCACATTCTGCAAATGGTGGCTTTAAATATGAGAATGAGTTTGTGGCATGTGTGAATGTACTGCATGTTGTTTAATGTGGGATGAACAAAATGCAGGAACCAGAGATTGATTAATTGATTGATTGATTGCTTCTAAATCACAGTCTTAATCCAACAACATCGTTCTAAACTGCATTTTGTTCTCATTATTGTAAATACTGTAACGTCTTAAAGTCATATTTTTAACATGTTTTCCTTTGCTCTCTATTTGCTGCCTTGGATTTATCTGTTGTTGTTAACACCATACAGAAGAAAATTATCATTATTATATGCTGTGTGGTTCTGGGAATTGTTATTGCTTCCAGCGTTGGGGGAATGCTGGCCTAAACCTCAACCACAGTCACACTAAAAGACACACACACAACAGAGCAAAAACACTACAGATTCACATTTTTTTGGTCTCATGAATGCAATCTATCACATGTTTAGTGCAAGGTGCGTTACATACTGTACGACACATTTTACACGCTGTGTACAGGGCCAGAGGTGTTTTCGCATGAGTTGCTATTTTGTAAACGTGTGGTGCTGCAAACTGTTTATCTGAGTGTTGAGTGTTGTCAACGATATGATGTTTCCAAAAGTGAATTCTTGAATGAAAAAGTTACAAAAATGACATGTACCACTATACTAATACATTCCAACTTCCGAATATGACACTTATTCAGTTGTAATGTCTATTTTGTGTTGTACAGGCAAAGTGACACACCACTAATCTGCAGTGTTTTCAAAAGCCACATTATCTATAAGACCTTTGTTTATTTACAACTTTATCTTTTCTAGTCTTTTTGCTTTCTCTCTCTGATGTCCTCTACCTCCCTCGCATGGTTTACTTCACTGTAAAGTGGTGTTTGTTTTCTATTTGCAAAAGGGGAAAAGGAGACACGTTGAATATTTTGCTCTAGAATAATCACACTGCCAAACTTTTCGAACGTTTTCTCCTGTAGTTCCTGAAAACAATGTACTTAACTTCATCTGGCCTTACCAGTTGTGCAGCATTACTGACCTTTGCTCCAGTGTTGGGTGTGACTGCGTGCATGCAGAGAATATGTGTGTGTTCATTTGTAGCTACATGTTTGAACGTGCTGAGTGCCAGTCATGGGAGAAGATGCGTGCTTGTTTCTATAGCCACCTGTGTCTTTGTTTTGTATAAATTGTAAACTGATATAAAGCTCTCTAACACTGCCAGTATGTTCAAATAAGCTGTTAAATAGTCTGGTTGGATTGATAATTCTGGTCTGTAAGTGACAAACCCTTGTTGTTTTATGTCTTTTTATAAACCCCCCTGAGCTTTAAACAGAGTATATGCTTCTGTCAAGCTACTTCTGTATTTATTTTTATGAGTGAACTTGATGAGGCGGTGAAAGCGTCAGCATGAACTCAATGAACCCGTTAAAAACACTGTCACATCAGTTTCCTGGCAACACATCAGACATGCACAGACTGCAACCATGTTTACCTTGTTGCCTACTCAACTTGTTGCCTTTGTGTTGTATTGTGATGATATGGTTTTGTTTGTTTGATTTGAGTTTGTTTTTTCAAGTAAAGTTTGTCTGAAAAATCACATTCAGAGTTTGTGCATTGCTTTGTCAGTGCTTTTACAGGATGTCCAATAAGTCCATTAAACCTGGGTCTTAGTAACTTTACACTTGTCAATGCATCTGTATAGATTCAGCAAAAGCAACATTGTATATGTTGTATGTACTAAAGCTCATATTTTATTTTAAAGGCTGTTTGACCCTCAGAGAGAGATACATTATAACAATTAATTTGCTTTGGTTGGTGTGTTTTATTGGAAATGTCTTTTCACTGTCCCTCTTTGGACGTCCCTAATTCCTAATGTCCCTTATTCCAAGTTTTGTCCAGCTTATGACTTTAGTGTTTTTCACTCATCTTTGAACATGAAGCTACTGTCTGGTCTTTTTTTCTTGTATTGTAAGGATGTAATTCCCATTTTGGTAGGGCAACTATGTCCTTTTTGGCACTTACCATCAACCAGTCTGAAGTTCCTCTTTTCTCAAAGGGAAAGCACACAGAACATTTACTTCCTCTTCTAGTCTCTTACCCACTGAGATTTAACAACATGTTTGTTTCAAATAAACACATTTATTTATAGTATTTTATTGTCCCATTATCATTTACAACAGGAGTGTGGATCATAGGCAAAAGCAAACACATACTGTATTCTTAAGATGCTAAATGGATCCCAAATTCCCTTAATTGACTGACTTCCTGTGCAAAGGGGATAAATGACATGACATGCAGCAAAAGGCCACAGGTGGGAATCAAACCTGCAGCAAGGACCTCTATACACAGGAACCACTTTCTACCAGGTGAGCTAGCAGAATTACAACAAGTAACACCATGAGTATAGACTGCTTTTCTTCAAATCCCCTTAACCAGTGGTGGCAGAAGTGTTTACATCCTATACACAAGTAAAAGTAGATGCCACCAATTAAAAAAAACTCCATTACAACTACAAGTCCTACATTAAGAAAGTATAAGTACAGAAGTATCCTCAGAAAAATCAAAGAGCATTTAATTGTTCATTGTTGTTCCAATTCTAACAACTACACACACTGTTTAGTAGTTTATTCTGAAACATTGTTTTGTAGTGTATTTTATGAATCGACCGTATATGTTGTATGTAAAATCTGCAAAGTCACAGTTATCATCTGTCTGTTGATGTGCTGTTTGTAAAAAGTACAATACGTCCCTCTATATAAAGCAATAAACAAAACCACAAGTACCCAAAACACACAAAAACTGTACTATACTTAAATGATTGTACTTTCCACTTCCCCTAGCTAAAAATAACTCTTTTCAACAATATACACAAAGTATGGAAGTGTCACACTGTCAGATATATAAAAATATAAATGCAATGATTTAAGTAAATGGAAAACAAAGTTTAGTTTGATCTATTCACCAACTAGTTCATCATAAAGCAGAGTGAGCCTAATGTAAAGACATCAAAGCAAAGTTTGTATTAACCAACACTCAATCTTGTCTCAGTGGCCTGGACAGAGGTAGAAGCGCTTTGTCAGAGTGCATCTGTCTTTGGTTGGCATTTGTTTGAGAGAAGGGTTTATATTAAAGTCTTCAAAGCGTTGCATGACCTGTGAGATTGAAGCAGTGCATTAAATTAAGCCATATCCTGGTGTGCATGCATGTTTCAATCCCACCACAGTTTGCACTCGGAAAACTTACTTTTCTGAAGAGTTCTTCGACGTCATCATTATGTGCACAGGTGTAGAATACCTCAACAATATACTGGATAAGAAAAGACCCACGATCGGTTTGTCTGTATGAGACAGTATCTGGAAGAAAAACATACAAAAACAGAAAATATATGTAGTTTTTATTACATAAGGTAACTATTCTTAACATTTCTTCATTGAGCTAAAGAAAAAGATGTGATAATATTAAAGTTAACTCACCGGGGGTGCTGGAGAGAAGAGAGATGAAGTCTTTTTCTTTGTGTACGCAATGCAAAGCATCATCCACTATGTTGTTGTG